ACCCTCAGGCCCTTGAGCTGGGACGTCAACTCACGTTTCCAGAATGGACGCTGCGAAAATCTGCGAGATCGAAGTCTCACCTGCGAGAATACGTGCTAGAACTGGGAACGCAGTGATCCCCAAGGCCACCCCCACGAACCTGCATCCGAAAGTAACTGTGCTTCGTCATGATATGTATCCGCTTGGAAACGGTCTTGCATCATCAGGACTGCGGCACTCAATGGAAAAGTTCCTGTAGGACCTTTACACGGCTCGAAAGCATGAGGAGCTACTGAGTTCAAAACCCGTATTCATGCCAAGATGCGACGAAAGCAAGCACAAGATAGCCTTCATTTGCAACCTGCTTTTAAGTAGGTGTGCTCTTTCGTCTATGCTTTCCCAAGGCCATACTATACAAACACCGTTCCACCTTGGCAAGTTCAACTTCAGTCTATGTGCAGATGCTTGCTCAAAATCCGAAGCCCCAATTGCTTAAAGTGCCGCCGACTGCTTTTGCTATCCGAAGAACAACGAACATATGCGTCCAAGAGAAATAAAACCAGGCAAAGGAACTCACAAATACAGGTAGCCAAAGCCGACGGTCGACATGTCCAGCTGTTTGATGGCCACAGTAATGGGCACCGACAACGCAAATGGCACTGCTATCCCACTAGCGCAGATAGCAAACGCTTTTGGGCCCACTGCTTTGAGTGACCCGATGTCGAGCTCAAGTCCCACCAAGAACCTGCAACAGAAGAGAGGTTTTTAGAGGACTTTCAAGAGCAACCGAGTTCTGAATGGTAAGGGCTGTAGTACCTAAGATGTTCAACAAACTTGTCGGCCTACCTTATTCAAGCTGGTTCTTGAAACGACATTTTATAAGCCAGCAAACATTCCCAGTCCATGACCTATATTGCACCACGAGATCCGAAAACGAGAAACAGAACTTTGAGATTGCTGTAAACCTTAATGATTCGATCCGGCGGTCTGCCTTGGAGTCACAAGGCAACCCAACGTAAGAAATACTTGCGCTCAGAATGAAGCTGCAAACAAAGCAAAGGGGAACATATGCTTGACAGGTAGCAGATCCAGATCAACGGTGCACTCTAAGTGGTCATGGGGAAGTGCTTCGATGAGCCCCGACGAAATAATTCAGCTCGATATCAGCTGCAACCTCAGTAAGAAGAGGCTTGACTCGAAGCAGAGAAACGGTGCATGGTGCAAGGTCAAGAGCAGAGGGGCCATCTGGATTGTCGTAGAGATGCTCGACGAACTTACAGGAAGAAGAGCAGCCCGATCGACGCAGTGGACTCCAGGATGGGTATGCTTGAGCTGGGAAACAGGTGTTTCAGGTAGCCAGGGATGTAGCCCATGACTGCCACGCAGAAAGGCTAGTTACTCAAGAGTTCTTAAAACCCAATGTGGGAGTGTGAGGTCATTGCAGTAAGAAACATTCAGTCTCTGAGCACTTCTCAGGTATGTTGGGAGACTCCTTTGCATCTTATGATCGCTGCTGTTAGAGAAAGATAAGGAGCGGCCACAGATTGTGAGCAGTGAACTTGCCTTTCAATGGCATCTGGCTGCGGAGCCGCCTCGTTTGGTAGGCAAGCTGATATATGTAAAGACAATCTTGAAATACTTGATGCGTGCACAAGTGTCAGGTATTGCTCTCTCACCTGAGGGTCCTAGAATCACCCCGCCAATCACCTCTGCAAGACAAGGGGCATACTGAGCTTAGGGTTTTCTGGCCTCTGTGGTCCTCACAGATTTTGGAGCAGGCGACATACTCTTTTGCGCACTGCCAACATTGGTTCTTTGTAACACAAGCGCCTACGGGACTCATGGCCTTGGTTAAGTGATTGGGGCGAGCCGGATCTTGGGTACAATGCTTGATTGTTGGATTTAGGGTTTGGTCCCCATGCCCATCTTGGGTCTCAAGCAGAGTCGCTTGCGTCGGCCCACTCCGATTTGTCAGGGGTGTCTACCAGATGCTTGGATGATACTCATTAGAGTTAATTCCGTGAACTGCGCGGATTTGCTACTAAAATGTTTTAGGAAAAGGGGGACAGGCCCAGAATGTTGTCATCTAGATCGCCGCATCCGCTCCAAAAGGATGGGCAGTGACTGAACCTTGACTAAACATGCTCCTTGGCTCTACAGAAGGACTGCATTGCCCCCTGGCAGATTCGACCCTCGAGGCAGCTCAGACTGACGTCTCATATCTGTAAGGACTCACAGCACTCATCTGAGCACCCATTGGATCCTCGGGTGAGTGCTGTGAAAACCTAGTAAAACCCTAATACCATTGCCTTTATTGAAAACTCGCTCATTGCTACGAAAGGAAGTCCTGCAAATGGCAGTCTTAAGCAGGCAGTTCAGCTCTCCTTCCCACATCCTTTGATGAGGCTTATCTTAAGCCAATGCAAGTTTATCACCTGCAATGACTCTGGGCTGCCTCAAGTGGCGCAGGAAAAGCGCCAAAAAGCGGCTGAGCCCAATGATGATCAGCAGCTGGAGCAGGAGCAAGGGCACCGAGTGCTTCAGGGGGGAGTCATCCGCCAGCAGCCCGTTAGAGTAAGCGCCCGCCATTCTGCCAACCTAGCAACCGCGCGCCCCTAAAGCCAAGAGCAGTTCTGACTTTTCCTAGCGCCCCACTGAGCTGAGCCCAGCTGATGTGGCGGCAGGAAGGATCAAAGTAGTGGGCACCAAAAGGTGTCCTATAAACAAAGAGAAGGCCGCATCCACAGATCCACGGTGCCGCCGGAGACGGTACAGCTTAGGCGGGCCAGCTTTTGATCTTGTGAAGGATCTTTGGGCTACCCCTGCAACTCTTCTTATGCTGCATTACCTGAATCGAGTGGCATAGTCACGAGATTGCCTTGCAAAAGTTGCATCACCTAGACCTTAGCTCTGTTCAAAGACCAAGGCGGCCGGGCACCGAACGATGGCTACCTAAACATAAGGGGGTTGTCACACGGGCGGTCACCGGTCATCGGCACCTTTTGCCCAACAGATTCTGGCGCGCTGATTGGTCCTCGCGGCGTGACCGCTGTCAAACGGGCGGTCGACCGGTGGTCAAGTCTAAAATCGCATTAACTTCACAGCACGTGTGAATGTGACCGCTGGCCCGAAAACTTGACCGGCCTCTTGACTTGGGTCAGGAGACCACGTGCAGTGGTCACATTGCGCTGGCCAATCAGGAACGAGTGCCTGGCGCGAAAATGTGTGAAACTGTCGCCAATTAACAGAAGAGGCGACTCAGTCAGGCTGCCACACTGCAGTCACTGAGTGCAATGAGCACTCCAAGTCTGGCTGGTTACACACTGGAGGAGCTTTGAATCTTTTCATACCAAGAGAGAGTATAGAGAAGCAGCACAGCGGCTGCTGAAAACGCCATGAATCCTTATCAAGGGCCCCTATGCAGGGGTCAAGCTGGCCAGGGGTCCTTTTCAGTTGCAGCATCAGCAGCGCCATGGTTCCAGATGCCACCACAATTAGGGGCAGCTCCTAGTCCGTATTTCCATGCATCATCAACAAACTTCTCAAGTCTGATGCAGGAAGCTGTTCAAACAAACCCACAGACGTCACCACAACCTTGGGACATTGGCGAAGGCCCTGTGGCACAGGACCAGCAGGGGCAGCCAAATCAGCTTTCGGAGGGTGTCCAGCTCAGTGAGCCAGGCTGGCAGCAGCCTATCAGAGAAGCTTCAGAGAAAGACCTCACTCAGGAGGCTGCGGAAGAGACCCCTGTTTTGCCCCAGCAGCCGGAGAATGGAAAGCGTGGAAGGGACAAGAAGGCAGCAGGGGGGGAACAGCCTACCAAGAAGCCAAGGGGTGGCAAGAAGAAAGCCGCCAAGGAGCTCACTGAAGAGGAGAAGGAGCAGCTTGCTGCCGGGAAGGAGGTTTACTGGCAGTTGTGTTGGGTTATATGCCTCATTGAGCAGAGAATCCGCCGTGATGCAGAGTTGAACAAGCCCAAGACTGGCTTTGATACGTGGGCCAAAATTGCAGTGGCCATTACAGCGGAGTATCCTGACTTTGACAAGGATGCTGAGGCTTGCAGGCAGAAAATGAAGAGAGTCATGAAACAATACGAGGGAGACAAGCAGACCAACGAGAGATCGGGGTCGGGCAGGGCCAACAGCTGCCCTTTCTATGAGCAGATGGATGCCTTCTTTGGGACAAAAGCTACAGTCAATTGCGCGGCGCGCTTGTCGAGCACAGCTGAAACTCCGGGGAATGCAGCGATGGGAAGTGTAGAGGAAGGGTCCAATGATGTAAAGGCCCAGGGCAGTGGCAAGGCTGACCGCAAGAAGAGTGCACAGGTTGATGCCATGAAGGAGGTCATGGAGGACGTGATTGAGAACACCACCGGCAGGGTAGTAGATGCTCTTACCCAAGCTAGCTCGGGCACTCAGAAGGTCATGGAAGGAATGCGATCAGACATTAACAACTTCATGGGGCGGCTCTTGGACATTCTTGAGCGAGACGGCTTGTAGCTCATTGAAACAAAGTACCAAGTTGATTGATCTCCGCAAGACATTGAGCTCTCAAAAGTAAAAGGGCTGACAGTAACTTGCCAGGGTTTGTTACTGATTGGCACCCACCTGTGTGTCACACTCTTATAAATGATTCCAAGTTGCTTGTCAGTCAAAGATGTATTGACTTTGCATGAAGTAAAATTCGACACTCAGCCTGATAAACATTAGTGAATGCGTTCGAATCAAAAAGTTCAAACATATAGCTTGGCGCACAACTTGGTCCATTTAAGTGCCAATTAATTAACTAACTCGAGCATGATATCACTGACTGCCTCAATAGCATACTTCGAAGTGGAATCATGGAACTCCACGAGCTTGTAGAAGTTTCATTTTCAATGGATCGAATGATGTCGCTTGCACCAACACTTTTCTATCAATATACTAGTACATGTATATGCATGATCACAATGATCCTTGTCCTTTCCTGATATGACCAGCTGTTCTTGAGTGAGCTGCAACTGCAAATGTCATTTCGAGCTACATCATGCAGCTCGAATTGAGCTGCTCGACTCACAGATATATGAGCCAGGTCACAGGAGACATGTTACTACAGTGATTGAAGACTGTGCTGGATAAAAGGATGCACCATGCATGCCACTGGCATGCCGCCGCATGGCAGCCTAATATGATATAAAAACTTAGGGGGATGCTCAAGTACTGTATGATTCAACGTTCGAGCTGCAAGCGGTCAAAGTCAAAGTGATCGAGCTATTCAGAGTGACACTGTGCAAGTACATACTAAATTGATTGGGCACTTCACACATCTTGACTGTGAAAAGGACGTGCATTTGTGGTCACCGTCTAAAGTGTGTCTGATCTTTCTTCGAATGTCGAATAACCCGAACAACATGCATTGTGCCGCACAACATGCATTCAATGTTGCTAACAATATCAATCAGAAGTTCGAGCTGCAGTCGAGCTGCATTTGCCAGTGAGTTCTGATCGAGATGCATATTTCGAGCTCACATGCTGCAGTGCAAAACAGGTCATTCGAGTTGGGAACGAGCACTGCTTGAATTACTTCGATTTAATGCAACATGATTCAAAACTCGAATGCTTCGCACGTACAGCCACTACAAAAGTACCGAATGAACAACTATATCCACATTTAAATAACCAGCTCAAAGATGGCCCATAGTTGCTCGAGCTCACTGCATCGACCTGAACAAAAAACGTGCCAGACTGATTCGACTTGGTGCAAACTTCGATTAGGAAGTCTTTCTTATGCCAGTGATCCGATTCGAAGTTTGCCATAGAGATCAGTACGAATTTACAGTATCTCGAGCTTCCAGTACTTCTAGCTCCTAGAAGATAGAGAGTCAAAGTGGCACCACATCGTATCTTTCTCTTACAATTCGTCTTCTGAGTCCTCGGAGTCGGAAGAGATCAAATCAGGGGCTACGTGTCCACGAGAACGTGCTTCAGCTCTCACTTTCGCATCGAACAGAACTCTCATCAAGTTCGCTCGTTTCATGAGGCCCTTATGGTATGCACTAGCGTCTTCCCTTTCAATGATAGGTTGCACTTCGTCCTGCCCTGATGGTGGATTACCAGATCCTGCATCTTGTACAGCCACTGCATCTAACCTGCTGGTCATCTCTCTCGTCACTTCTCCATTTGCTGCCGCTGCTTCCGTTCGAGAGCGGCTGCCGCCGCCCCGTCTTCTCAACCGAGCCAGCTCGTCTGCGGTCTCATCAAACCAGGAGCTTTGAAAACTTTCCTTGTGTACTCTGCACATATTGTGCAGCACAATGCATGCTGCCACCACCTTGCAGGCAAACAGCAGCTCCACGTTCAAGAGCAAGGCAATACTGCCCCACCGCCCCTTCAAAATCCCAAACGCACACTCGACAGCCATACGGGAGCTGCTTTGGATGAAGTTGCAATACGCTTTGTCTGGAGTAAGACCTTCTTTAGTGCCCATAAATGGAGTCAGCATGTTAAGCCGAGGCTGGTAAGCAGCATCTCCTAGAAGGGCATACTGCCCGAGCTCGCCCCTCTCCATTCTTTCGTGTAGATCTGATAAACAAAACATTTTGTGGTCGTGCATACAACCTGGCCTCCCAATATCAAAGTGCCAGAATTTGTAGTCAGCATCGACCACACCCTGTAGCAGGATACTATGGAACCCCTTCCGGTTGTAGTAGTCAGCCGGCCACTGTCTTGGCGAAATGATGGGAATATGGCTTCCATC